TAGACTCTATATATATGAGTCCTTCTGTATCTATTCGATAACGAAGAAAATAAGATTGGTTCTCTTCTCTCTGTTCAAAGCTTCTGGCGTGAACTTCATTTCTACATGGTATCAGGAATAGGTTCTTGATCCTGCGAAATATGGCAGATTCCGCCTCCTCCCGGCTTCAAGATCGGAGCGATGGTTCTCAAAATGAGGATCCGATGATTCCAGCAACGCTGAAATTCGTTGTCTCGAATCTACGCAACCTCGTTACAGCTCCACTGTCACCGGATAATTTCATGATCTGGAAATCACAGATCACCAAAACTCTCCGCGCCAACGGTTTCATCCATTTTCTTGATCCAAATGCCGCTTCTCCGTCTCCCACCATTCGTCTCGCCGACGGCTCCACATCGGCAAATCCAAGCTATGCGCAATGGATACTAACGGATCAAAACCTGTCGGCATCAATATGCTCGACTATATCTCCGTCGATTCTCCCTTACGTCATTTCGCTCGAGTCCACCGCGCAGGTTTGGTCGGCTCTTGAAACAAGATTTCAAGCAACCAACCATTCCAAAGTTATGCAACTCAAGAACGCGTTGCACAATGTCGCCCTCAAGACTCAATCTATGGAAGATTACTTGTCCGAAATAAAGACCATCGTGGATCAAATTGCAGCTGCCGGCTGCAATCTTGAAGCTGAAGATGTGATTCACTACATCTTAAACGGTCTTCCTCCACCGTACCAGTCCTTCAAATCCTCTATTCGGACGAACCCGCTTCCGCTCACCTTGGATCAAATCTATCCGCTCTTGCTAAGCGAAGAAATTAATCTCGCTTCGGATGCCGCAAAATTTTCGATTGCACCGGACCCTAACATGGCTCTTTTCTCTAACCGTGGCAGAGGCAGGAGATCCAGAGCCAAGAACACTTACGGCTCATCTACAGAGCCAAGAACACTTACGGCTCATCTACAAATACTCGTAACAATCCCTTTGCTAACGTTATATGTCAAATCTGCTCCAAGAAGGGTCACTCGGCACACTCGTGCTGGCATCGAACAGATCTCAAATATGTCGCTCCGTCCAAGAATGCGAATTCGGCGTTACTTACAACTTCGGACACCGCTGATGTCAACTGGTTCCTGGACTCTGGAGCGTCATCCCATCTAACTAATTCGTTAGAAAATATGTCCATGGTTCAGCCATATCAGGGATCCGAATCTGTTACGGTTGGTGATGGAAATGCAGTCAGCATCGCACACTCCGGGGCGGGCATTCTCCCGACCCCCTCTCGTAAGCTGCGGCTTTCCAAAATTTTTCACACTCCATCTCTTAAATTCAATCTTTTATCTATTTCTCAACTAACCAAAGACAATCAAATATCCATCACTTTTGATCCTAATGGTTTTGTGTTGAAGGATCTAGCGACGCAGGATATCATTCTTCGCGGACCGTCCAATGATGGACTCTACCCCATTCCGCTGAAGCCTCAAGCTCGCCAACATCCAGCGCTTACTGCCAATCGGGAGTCTTCTCAGCTCTGGCATCAACGCCTTGGTCACCCACATAAAATTGTTTTTGATTTGATTTCATCTTGTAATCCTTTGCTGCACATGAATAAGCAGCACCATAAATGTGAAATCTGCTCTGCTTCTAAATGTCACAAAAACGTTTTCTCTAGCTCTCTGAACAGGCAATCCCAACTGCTTGCTCTCATTCACAGCGATGTATGGGGTCCGGCCCCGACCTCCTCTGCTCAAGGATTCATATTTTATGTGATTTTTGTCGATGACTACACACGGTTTACTTGGGTTTTTCCATTATGTTTTTTCTACGTTTGTTCATTTTAAGACAAAAATTGAAAATCTCACCTCACATCGTATTAAAATATTACGCACAGATGGCGGATCTGAGTACGTCAATTCTAACTTCAAACACTTCCTTATTAAACACGGGATCACGCATCAACTTTCGTGTCCTTATACTCCGGAGCAGAACGGTCTCGCCGAGCGTAAACACAGACACATCATTGAAACAACAAAGTCGCTGCTACTAACAACATCCATGCCGCCCTCATTTTGGCCTTATGCAGTAGCCACCGCGGTTTATTTAATTAACCGGATGCCTTCTAACACTACTCAAAATTATTCTCCTCTTGAACTTCTGTTTAACAGGAAACCAGATTATCAAGATCTAAAAGTGTTTGGCTGCAAGTGTTACCCTCTATCACCTGCTCACACGAGGAACAAATTGATGCCAAATGCGCAGCCGTGTCTGTTTCTCGGCTATTCAGATAATCACAAAGGGTATCGATGTCTTAATCTTCAAACGAATAAAGTAATTGTTTCTAGGAATGTTAATTTTCATGAAAATATTTTCCCGCTTGCGACATCATTATCTAATCCTGTTGTATACCCAACTGAGGTAATGCCCAGGTTACTAATACCTGTATCTGCTAATCAAACTAATGCTGCTACTAAGCCAATGCAGGTCTCTTCCCCCTCTGCTCTGCTACAATTTTCTCAAATCCCTCCTACATCTTCAAACCCGCTATCACAGAGACAGCAAATATCTGCGGAACTTTAGCCCGTGGCACCAAGCTCAGTTCCCTGTCATCCAATGACTACTCGAAGCAAAACAGGTTCCTTACGCCAACCAAATCGGCTAAATCTG